TGACGTTGATTATTACCAAATGAACCCATTTTTGCGCTGATCAGATGTCGAATATCTATCGCAATGTAAATATAAATATTCATTCTCAAATTGTGGCGGAATTAGTTAGCTTGGGTTCATTGTTTTGAACACCGGACGTAAAAAGAGGGGTGTTCTAAGTTTGAGGTGTCTGTCTGTGTATATGTATGTCTGTCTGTAGCATCGTAGCTTCTTAACAAATGGACCGATTACTGTGCGGTTTTATTTATTGGAACGGCGTCAGACGTGATCGAAATAGTTATTAGCTATAATTAGAGTTGTTTTTGTGTCAGATTGGTTACTTAAATTTTACAATTGTATAATATTAATGATTAGAAACGCTAATGCGATCTTGTAGATGACTATGGACAGAGGTGAACGTTTAACACCACGTGTGCGCCTGGATAGTTGAATACTTGGCAAAATTTACATAAAATAATATTAGTGCTATTTTATTAACTTCTAAGTTGAAACGTCTGTTGTTAATTAATATATTATAATAAATAAAAATGTCTTGTGTTAATTAAAATTCTCATTACTACCTTAAGAAATTATGTTCGTGTTAAAATTAAATATCTTTCCATTCAAGTGATGTTTTCTATTTACCCAGCATTTTTGTAGACGGATAAATGAAAAAACAATTCCAACGTACTTAGTATAAGCGACGCGATGTTTTGTTTGTCTGAGAGACGAAAAGTTTTCTTATTGGAAGGCGCACGGTGTTTGTTTATCGATTTTATCACCTAGGGGTTACGTCGAGTGTGAGAGACCGACGGGCGAGCCGGTGTGCTGTCCTGTCACGCAACTTTTGTTGCCTACATACGCATATACATACACATGTGTTTGTCTTTTACAAAGTTATTATTGAAAGTCTAATTAATCAATGAAACGAAAGAAATTCATTTTGAATTTTCTTGTGAAAAGTTGCGAAAGGAGCAGACGGTTCACCTGATGGTAAGTGAATACCGCCGCCCATGGACATCTGCTACACCCGAGGGTTACAGATGCGTTGACAACCTTTGAATATTGGGCTCCGGCTACCTCACTCACCAGACGAAACGCGAAATTATCTCTCGGAATAACTTGTCTAGGCATATGAACCAACCGGTACGAGTTATTAATTAAAAACAAAACCGATTTCAAATGTCCCGCTCTGTATCCATTTTATAATTGATTCTCAGGAACTCCTGAGCAAGTAACTCCTAAGTATCTCCGGAGCCCCACGATCCAATATCAATGAAACTAATATGGGACCACATGGGAAGCACCAGTTTCCAAATAAAAAATTAGTTCCCTCCGTTCAAGTGAATTTTCAGTTCTCGTCGAAGGTAACAAACATAAAAAAAAAAAATACTGTCGAATTGAAAACCCCTCTCCTCTTTTGAAGTAGGTTGAAAACAGTCTGAGTCCTTAGAAATGTCGTTATATACTAGTTTGCATGGATAGTTCTCTAGTTTATGTAAAGTAGGAGTACTGTGTATCGCTAGATAGGCCGTATATCTGAATCCTAAGCAGTATAGGTAGAACTATGTGTCGCTTTTACGCGAATACAAATTATTGACGTACATTTTGTGTCTCAGTAAAAAGTGAAAATATCATACGATAAACAATTAAATCAAAACATAACCACATTTTAATTAGTTACGAATACACCATTCATCTTATTCTAAACTGCTACGGATTGTTTGTATACCGTTAAGTTTTTTTTTTAAGTTTTTTTAGATGAGCTTTACATGTATTATCGAATGATACATTTTGTTACAAAAAGGAGAATCGTTTTTACAAATCAGAGCAATTTTGCGCATAGTGAGGGATTGCATCCAGACTTGTCGAGCTGTTTGTTGATTGTTCCAGTGTGAAATAGATAAAGGTTTAAAGGTTTGTTTGACACATTAGCTGGGAATCCCTTTACATAGCTAATGAAGTAATTTAAGTGTTAGTGCTTAAACACGTTGACTCGCGGGCGCGGTAGCAGGCGCGGTCACGAAGTATCAAATATATGACTTAGTATCCGAGTGTTCACGTTAGCGATAGGCGTTGAATCAACGAACTAGTTTAACGAATTAACTTTAACTGTCATTGAAATCAACCAGTTGAATTCGTTAACGTCGTTTCGGAAAATTTGTCGTTGAATCAACTCGTTTAAAAACGCAGTCAACGATACGTTACGGAACATAAGCGTAACGAACCTAATAAATTGAAAACCTTACGTTGAAAAAAAAAACGTCACAGAGCTGAGTTGAAATGTTTGTTTAATTTTATGAAGGACATGTTTAAGTTCGCTTTCTTTATTTTTGTTAGACAGTTTGTGAATAATTGCTCGCAAGGTCACAGAATATTTTGCGGCTTTACGTAAATATTATCATATATTGGAATTTTATATTATGTTATTAGTTTTGTTTATTAGAATTTTACTTTGTGGTTAATGTTTTTTTTTAATTAAAAATTTATAAATGTATAAGTGTATAGAGGACTGTGGGTACAAATTTCAAAATGTTTGGACGTATAAACAGTGAGTTATGGCTTCATACCTAAAAAGACCTTGTTAATGTTACTTATCACAAATGTGCTTGTAATTTTTGTAATCTTGAAACTTTGATATTTAATAAAACTTTGATATTTAAATAAAGATTATTATTATTATTATAAAAAAAAATTCTAGCGGGAAAGCTATTAGTAATGTATGTAAGGAGAATTGACCACTTTAAATTTAAAAAGTACTAGAAGCGGAAATATATTTAAATAGTTTCATCAGTGTTTTAGTACCAATCTTTAAGTAATCCGCCTGTATTGGAAACTAACCCACTCTGTTCCATGCCAGGAACAAACTAAAATATCATAGTTTTAGTTCAGTGCCCAACCAGGTGATTCAGAAATCATCAGCGACTAAACACCAGCATATGATGGTTGATTTTGATAAAAATAGTTCATAACAAAAGAAAAAAAACTAATTCAGATTTGTTAGATTTATGCATAGATAGCTTTCATCCGTTTTTCCCTAGTAGAAGAAAGGGCTTGCAAAGTAGCGGGCAAACTAGCGGCTGGCGTACTAAGTTCAACCATTTTGAACTTGTCGCTACAAATTATAGCACGTTTTTTTAATGTCTTCTTTTGAAATGACACTCCTTATTGAATCCAGTGTGTAATGATGTTCTCTCAAATTACTACAAGTATAACAAATAGAATTAACCATACCGTTCTGTGTCTTTATTAATTTGTTGCACACCAATTCTAATTTTTAGTATCTTCCACTTTAGTTATGAATTTTCGTTTAAAAATATAAGATCGCCGCGTTCGTTGATGACGTGTTTTCAGCCTCTGGAAACACGTCACACTCGCGCAAACTGGCGGCTAACGTGAACACGAGATCGCGACGTCTACCGCGCCCGCACTAGCCACCGCGCCCGCGTGATCCTTCTTGTATCTTGTACTAACTGATCTTTTTGCTTTCAGTCCCGACACTATTAAAGCTTCATCTGACGCAGAACCGGTGGGCTAGCCAGAACCCACGGGTTTGGGCCCTCCGCTGTGGGTAGGGCCGCGCATGTGCTCATGCGTGCGTGATCCTGCGTGAACAAGCGCTTAGAATAGTCAAAATTGCAACTAACTTGTAGGTGGAAAGCGATCAGTATTAAGTTACTCCTACACTTTCGCCGACGTTGAAGGCGTGTCTGATATCGTGATTCGATGAAGCCTGTTGGTTAATTAAAGCTTATTCTTTTATTAGCCAACATACAATGAGATATACGTAGTGTGGCGGTTTAGATACGAATTTGAGAAAATTCTGTTACGCGTCTACATGCTATAACAAATACCTTTTTACATGTACAACTAAATATTTAAATTTTTTGTAAAAGAATATCATTATGATTAAAATATCTGGAACAAAAATAATATATACTCGGCCTGTTTCATGAATCAGTAAAAACGAATAAAAAGAATGAATTGATTAAAGCTAAAATCGAAATCTCTCTTCAAAATGCTCCTCTAAAACATAAATGTAAGGAGGCTCTATAAAAAAGCTAAATTAACATTGACAAAAAATAATCTTGAGGAAGTTCGCAAACCAACCGGCTGAATTCAGCGTATTGGCTTCATCCGAAGTCTTAAATTTTCTTTGAAGAAACATTTGATGGAAAGCAAAAATAAATACAAAGACCTCAAATATATGGTAATATTAAATTCAAGAATACAGTAGCAGCTATCAACATTTGATTAGTAAATATTTGATAGTAATTTCAATTTTATTAAAGTATTATTATATTAAATATTTTTATTCTGTTTTTAAGTATTAGTTTTTATAGCGGCAACAGAAATGCATCAATGTGAAAATTGCAACTGTCTTACTATCACGGTGCATGAGATACAGCCTGGTGACAGACCGGCAGACGGACAGACGGACAGACAGACAGACAGACAGCGGAGTCGGATTGTAAAACCATATTTGAATTTGTTTGTGTGCTGAAGAACAATAAAAGCGCCAAGAATTGTTAAAATGCGAAAAAATGCATTGAGATTTTAGTCGGAATGGCAATCAGCTGTTTAGTTTACTTTTCCTTTTCGTCCGAAGAGTGGGGTAACCGAGAAATTTGCCCAGCTGTTCTACTATTATTCTACGAACTCATAGTGTAGGTAGATTAATTTGTTATAGGGCAAATCGAATACGTAGCCGTGAATCGAATAAGATGAATTTAATTTGACGGTATTTTAATTTGATGCTTTAAAATTAAAAAAATAAACACAGCGTTCAGCAGTCGGTACGAATTAATATGTGCAGCCAGTTACGTTTTTCGCGTTGAAATAAACGCAAAATAATAAAGAATGCACCTTCTCGCTGACGAATACCGAAGATCGGTACGGTATTTTGCTCTCATTCAAAGTTTAGTTAGTCTTCAAAAATTAGCGTGCACCATCTGCTGTTATCGTAGACTAGTATCGGCCGGTGCTGTCGTTTCGAGTCGAGTTTGAAAAAGGAATTATCACTCCAATGGCGGCCGAGGCATAGTGACGGCGCGTACCCCGTTGGCTGGAGCTGATCGGTCGGCTGTTGCAGCTCGGGGGCAGCGCCCGCCGCGGGGCGTTGGGCGCGGGCGGCGGGGCGGGCCCGCGAGATGAGCCGCGCGCGCGCAGCCCGCCCCGCCCGCTATGCAGAGGCTGCGCACCACCTTCAAACGCTCCCGCACCCCCACGCCCGCCGACATGAAGACCCAGAGCAGCCTCGAGGTGCCCAAGCAGGTACGCTCTTTTTACTTAAATACAAAATATAAAAAAAAAAATACAAAAAATCACTTATTGCCTCCTTTATAACTTAAAACGAAACATGCATTCATAAAATTAGAGTACACAATACAATAAAGGCAAAAGGAGGTGGCTCAGCTTGCGCTGATCGGGATAGTAGTTCCGAGCAGCGCTGATTTTCGGTCACTCCCCACTTCCTGAGGTGTTTTACGGAAGTTTTAGTTCTGGCCTACCAAGCGAAAAAATTAGGAAGTATGTAAGATGTATATAAAAAAAGAAAACAATATGAACTATAAAAAGGAACAATAATTTTTGCTTTATGTGAGAGTGGCAAGCGAGCTGGTGCTTCACCTGGTGTTAAGTGATGACCGCCGCTCATGAACATTTGCAACACGTTGGGTTGCAGATGCGTTGCCAACTTCTAATAATGTGGGCCCTGGTTACCTGACTTACCAGACGAAACGCAGGAGTATAATACTACCACTCCACCGGTCCATGCCGGTCTTCTGAGAGGTGGTGGTACTTCCCCGAAAGGATATGCCCACTCATGCAACAGCGAAGACTGTTGTGTGACCCTATCACAGTTAGTGTACGTCCCATAGTGATTGGCGCTTGGAATTTAAGGCAAGTCTTGGCCGTAGTTGCCAACATTTGCCTCAAATGCTTAAACGAGCACTTGAGTCGTTTCGTTCGCTCAAATTCTTCATGACCGTACAGATGCAACTTATTGCTGGTGTTATTACAAGTGTTTTTCTTTACGTTGTGTCTGGACAGTTGCTTTCTTTGAATGGTTGTGACTGTTTCTGAGTGAGAATATTTTAATGAGTCGAGGCTTTTTGTTTATTTGTTTTATTCACAACGTGAGTTTCATTCTTTGAACGTCGATTTTAAAATGTTGATTTAACATAAGGAGTATTTTGACAATTTAGAAATGCTTCTTTAAGTAAAGCTTCTTAGAAAAGATTATATTTACTCAAATATTACACCTATGAAAGATAGAAGGCTTTAAAACCATCGCTTTTATTAATTTGCTAAATAAATGTCAATCAATTCATAAGAGATAGAGTCTGCCTACGTTTAGTTATAATGAATCATTCATAGTTATTTTAGAAACGGGAGGTGCTAACACAGAATTCCTTTTAGCAACTGCGGACCCGTCCACAAACATAATTGGTCATCCTCGGTCAGATTATCACGGCCTAAATAAATAATGGCGTTTTCTCAAGTCACCTAATGAACAGTCTCTGTTAGACTTTCGGTCAAATTCCGCCGGGCCTAATTATACGATCTCGGAACAAGTTTATTAAGAGCGTTTATGTCCCGTTGTCACTCAATTTGGCGACGTTAAAAACACAGTGTCATATACATTGTATTTTTAACCTCACTCGGGGGTAACTTTTAAAATGGCAGCCTTAAAAAATCGCGCTGACATTTCCTCCTTTTATATTCCCTTACGCAGTTACGCCAAAGTTTTCTGTTTTAAACAATGGACTCATTTATTTTCAGCGTTGTGGCCTAAAATTGAAAAATGAAATTAATGCCTTTGCCATTGCCTAGTATTAAATATGTCTTCGCCATTATATGTATAAAATATTTATTCAATCTATTTATTTCAAGGGGTTTCATTATGACTTATTATTGATGAAAACCTCTTGACACAAATATTCGCAAAATGTTTAGGATTTAATTTAAATTCATTAACACATCAATGACTTCATAAAAATTACTTGTTTTTTTATAACTCATTTTTTTATGAATTAATACCAATAAGCTTCATAATCATCATTATTGCAGCTTCTTGCCAGAAGTTCACCGCCCAACCCCCGCTACCTCCATCAGAAATTGAGCAGGTCATCAATTAATTTTCTGAGGGTTGCCACGCTGCGTTTGCCAGTAAGATGATGCCACTCGAGAATATTTACTACCCAATGGTGGGTTAGCAAGGATTCAATGGGACATTTATAGGCAGGTTATTGTACTTTAATTGGAAAAAAGTTCATCCAATATTCTTCTCCAGGTTCGATCAGCCTCCTTCGATGAGATCCAATTGGAAGCTGCGCGGGGGTCCAGTGCCAACACCCTACTCTCGGTGCCCCAGCATGGAGGCCGGAGTCGCTCCTTCGACTCCGCTGGCTCGGATGACTCCGGCACTTATCTCGAGGTAATATGAAATGTCTGCTAAATGAATAAGTAACTCACAACTTAAATAGTAGCAAAGTTTCTAAATTACCGAGAAGAGTTATAAAACAAAAATAGCTATTAATGATTAAGGATTTTATCGCCTTTTAAATTTGATTATGGGTTTCATTTAATATGCATAATGTTCGCGTAAAATCAAGAAGTCAATACAAAAAAAGCTGTCGTGTCCAAAGATAAACTCACTCCTATAAGGGGTGTGTGCATTTCCACCTCTTTAGCGTCTATCAGATGCAGATATGTAACATTCAATAGATGCTCATCGGTCCCGACTTACATCGATCTCCCTTAGAATATTACCAACATGGTCGGCTCACGAGGCCGCCTTTGACGTCAACTTTCCCACAAAAAGTGGAAAATTTGCCAAACCTCAATCAATCGGAGAAGTCGTTGTTTAATTTTGAAAGTTCAACTCGCTTTATCTGCTACCTTTAATGCTTTCGTTTATTGTTAATTTTATCTCCACTTATAATAAATTAAAAGAACACATTAAATTGAGGATCATCAAAGCATTGGATGAATGTGTCGCTTATCAGACTCTCCAACCTACTACCTGGCGTCGCTACGAGTTAATTTATTACCGTATACCAAAGTTAAAAAAAACTACCCGTACAGCCTCGTCAATTATACTTTACTATATGCCGCGTGGATTAGGTTTATTAGATAATATGTAACTTAACATAGATTTAATCTTGTAAATATTAGATCAATAAAGATTGTAAACTTTACTATGCAAAATCCATACTAATAATAAATGAGTAAGTAACTCTGTCTGTCTCTCTCGCTTTCACGCTAAAACTACTGAACCGATTTAAACGAGATTTGGTACACAGATAGACTAGAGCCTGAGAAAGGATATAAGATTTTTTTTAATGTGAAAAGTTGCCAAACGAGCAGACGGTTCACCTGATGGTAAGTGAATACCGCCGCCCATGGACATTTGCTGCACCCGAGGGTTACAGATGCGTTGACAACCTTTTGAAAATTGGGCTCCGGCTACCTCACTCACCAGACGAAACGCGAAAGTATTTGTCATACTTCCACTTTACGCTGGTCTTCTGTGAAGTCGTGGTACTTACCCGGACGGGCCTGCCCATTCGTGCAACAGCCGAGGCTGCTGCGCCGTGTTTACCAGGCTATTTTTTAATTGGAAAAACTGTTGTAAGGATTGAAAATAAAGGGTAAAAGAAGGTAAATATAGGGATAAAGAAGGATATTTATTCAAGAGCTTCAACGCAAGAGAGCGTACTCTTTCTTAAAAGGCCGGCAACGCATTTGTGAGCCCTCGGGTGTTGCAGGTGTTCATGGGCGGCGGTAATCACTTACCATCAGGTGAGCCTCCTGCTCATTTGCCCCTTTTCTCCATAAAAAAAAAAAAAAAAAAAGCGAAGCCACGGGCGAAAAGGTAGTTATATATATTATTACAAAACCTGCGTTACTTTATTGATATAGAAATATAAATATCTTGTTTCACTATAAGGTTTAAGAGAAATTAGGCAATAACAACATTTTTATTTCCACCGAAAGAGAGAAATGTAATAAGGGTGGTAACTTTGTTATTTAATCCTTAACTTTGTATTGAACATTTTAATCAGGTTAGGAAAGACAACTCTGGTAATGAATTTAATTAGTAACGATAGAAAGCAATACTCAATGACTAGCAGTTTTAATTTTTGTTACATGATACTTTTAAGTAGTCCGGTCTGATTACGGCGTTTTGAAAACCAGAAATAAAATAATTATAATTATATATTAAAGCCTTAGTAGATCGCCGTTTGGTGAAGTACAGTATGTATGTAATGCTTTGCATTGTAGATAAATAATTTGTACCTAAACTCCGCATTTAGATTGTCAATTTAAATATTGCATTTTCTCAAATTAGTTTCAAGCCAAGAAATTTCTGTAAACTTGATAATAATACTCTTACGCCCGGTTTCTGAAACACTGATCATCGCAGATGTCAACTAATCAGCTGGCAAATGGATTTCAAATTTAATTTTAGTTGCCAAAAGGGTGGTTAAACTCTCTGAATTGACCAGAATGATCTTCTTTATTATAAGAATGATCAATTCACAAAGACTTTAACGATCCTTTCGGCAACTAAAATTAAATTTGAAATTAATTTGACAGCTGATTAGTTGACATCTACGATGATCAGTGTTTTAGAAACCGGGCGTTAATATGGTAAATTTTAACACAGTTATAATTATTTCATTTATAGTGTGGCTCCATTTGTTTGGTGAGAGTTTGGAGGAGACATGACATCATTGAAACCATTTCTTTTTAATGTTCATTAGAAATAAAAAAAAGAACAGAATATAATATAATACATAATAAATAAAAGTAGACATGAAAAGAATTACACAGCTAAGAACAATAGATCTTTTTTATACGTAGGATAAATTTCATGCGAAGTTATGAGGTCCCACGTTCAGTATTAATATGTTTGTTCCTTAAACATACGGGAAATCTATTCCGAAAGCGATTTCACCAGTCTAAAACACGAGTGATTAGCATAGCCCAAATCACAGGTGCCGCGTCTATGGTCGAGACGTCGCTCCGGGAAGGGCACACCGCCGCCATGCGTCCACTGCCGCCACATGGAGACGTGGCTCGCGCGCCAAAGCGAGGAGAGGTTCACGCCCGAGCGGCCCGCTGCCTCCTCCTCGGCGGAGGACGAAGACGAGGACGACGAGAGCGAGGGAGACTCGCCGAGGGTCCTACTAGCGCCCACTCCGCCGCTGACAACCCTCGTTCCGCCCCCACCGCAGTCGCCCCCACCGTCCCCTGGCGCGCCCTCGTTCGAGCTGCAGCCGCCGAGCGACGAGCCGCCCGTTCCGCCCCAGAGAAGGAGGTCTATATCCAGACAGGAGGCCTTCTTCGTCGAGCCGACCGGCAGCTCCCTGGAGAACGTGCGGGCCTCCGAGCAGGATGCGAACGGCGCTTGCAGGGATACCTTCGTCCACGACATATATCTCGCGGTGCCCGAGTTGAAACGCGACCGCGCCGCGTCTGTGGACTCGTGCTTCTCGAAGGTGTCGGGCGCCAGGGCCGAGGAGCTGAGCGGTGCCGGAGACTCCTTGACAGTGCCCGGGACAGGGCTGCGCTCCCGCTCCGTGGATATCGTGCTGCCGACCGCCGAGCAGAGCCGCTACAAGGCGCTCGCTTTGACCTCGTCCCAAGCCCCATCGCCTCTGCAGCATCAGGCACCCGAGGAAACGGTCGCCATCGTCCTACAGCCTCTCGACGAAAGGTCAGTGGATTAAAACACATATGCGATGACTTTAACCGAAAAAAGGCTTCAAAGAGCAAATCTTTTTTCGTTAAAAAAGAAATAAACACGTTTCCCCATTTTCGTTTCTCTTTTATTTTAATCACTTCTTTTTCAGAGCGCTTTTTTCCTTTCGCGTCGTTTATTAACCGACTTCATTTGCATGGCAATTTTCACATAATAAACACGTTATATTATAAGAAATGTGAACGATTTCTGAAAGTCTTTCATTTAACATGTTGATATTTTTTGTCAAGTGTTTACTTATTCTGCTGTTATATTAGTACTAATAACATCGGTATGACGTAATGAATTTTGAAACAAACCGAATTTTGATATTGAACTGACCTTGATTACATCTACTGAAAGCGCAGTTTGCTCAGTGGAAAGATTACATTGGTTCATTGGACGTTGTTAACAATCTAAGAATTGTTTTATTAGCCAATACTATAAATTGCTGATAAATATTGAACTCTGATTTATTCGATATTCTTATTATTATATACAAACGACACAGTTTTTACAGTGTACTCCTCAACTAGATGAAATGGTTGTTACATATTATAGTATTATATCATGCAAAGAGCATCCAATAAAAACCTATGTGCATAGTATGAAAGAATATTTCAAATGCACCATACGTATAAAATCATAAAATTATTTTTTTATGATTTGTTCTTATTCATTTTCGTTGTAATATGTAATAGTTTGATATTTTATTTTGTCTAAATGTACACATTTAGAACAAACTCTCGTATGCTTATGAAGTAGATTGCCGCTGTTTTCTTCGAGATTCGTAAATTCTATACGCGTAACAAGCTCAGTGTCTTGAAACGTTAAGTTGCGATCTCGGTTCGATCTCGGTTCGATCTCGAGTGGCATCTATCAATTAGTCGATTTTCATGGGGTTTGTACAAAAACATGGATTCACTTATGTTGACCAACGAACACAGACTTTTCACTTGTCTTGTTGTAAAGTTCCGTATAGAGGGGCGTAGGTAAAGAGATTTTGTTTCTTTTTTAATTAATTAGTTTGTTTGAAAAATATTTTTTTTTAATTATGATTTTTTTTAATGTTTTACATTTTTTTATGATTATTGGCAAGTAGCGTTAGACGTGTGTTCATTTATTGTCGCGGTTGTAACATGACTGTATTTAGTCATATTGTAAGCTTGTATATCCATATGATAAATAATGCAAAATAATAGTATGGAAAGCAGCTGTACTGACATATCTTATTATACAATACGTCCATGAAGGAAATTAAATTACTGAGGCTATAAACTGTGGGATCCTGCCTTGTTTTTCTTTTAAATTGTAAATTAAATGTTGCACTTTTTAATTTAATTACGAATATCCTTTGTAAGACGGAATGACGTTTTCTTTTACAATACTGAATAACAATGTCTTAGTTTACTTTCTATGAGGAACTTCTTCTGGTACATCGACTAATAATTACGTTGTTACCATGTTTTATCAATGCGTTTTCATCTTTAAAACTAAACGTTTATATTAAATTAATATTTCGTTGTTTAAAAGATCTTAGTATGGATGCATTCTGCAATCTGTACGCATAATTAAGTTATAACTTCTTGTCGATTTTCGTGTCGTTATTCAAAATTTCCAATTAATTGGTACACTTTGTTTTTGAACCCAATAAAAAGCTTTGATTACGAGCTTCGATGTAGCTTCTTTTTAAATTAGTACCTATGAATAGATGAGCCGTTTGTCCAGCAGTGGGACATTATATATATATATATATATGTATATACGTTGGTACTTTACTTTTTTTTGAGACAAAAACGTGTAACAAAATTTATTTTAGGTTCATAATTTTCGACGGCTTTACCGCGACTTTAATCTCCTTAAGAGTAATACTTTGACAAATGATTTGAAGGGTAAAAAAGTTCTTGTTCAATATCACTCACTTTGAATTTTTTCTTTTTATTAGAATCATGATAATGAGTCCACATTAAATATTGAAACTTTTGATGGGAATTATTCGTAGAAGTCATCAAAACAACTTACGGTTGAAGGAACGCAATAGACGAATTCATGTCGAATGTTTAGTGGGAAATTTGCATAAGAATTCAGCATAAACTTCCAAGAGACAATAGGGAGTTGATTATGGTGAAAACGAAAATTATGTTTTATTTTTTCAAGAATTCCATATAATAATAAAATTTGAATTATTATTTAATGCAACATGATAAGTATTTACTTTAATAATAATAAAATGAAAATTGCAAATAAACATGGCAAAAATGTAGAAGAAAAAATACCTCTATGAAGAGAAATATTATTTTGCTAGAAAAAGGCATGTTCAATAAGATCTTGTACTTTTAACTCGAACTATTGAACTGCTATATTTCTATATCATTGTTTTACCCCTTACACGTTTCAAAGTTCAACACTACTCACTTCGTAGTTCCAAATACGCAGTGTTAGAATAGTATAATACAAGGGTCGTGTGAAAATATTGGTTCTTGGCGAGTATATTCACTTTATGCTTTTAACTTAACAACCCAATGCACTCTTGTTCATTTAACAATATTTTTTACCTACATAGGTGACCTTTGAGTAATGCTCAATGATATTCAACCCTATGGCACGTACGTTAAAAAAATGTTGGATTTTTAACTGTCATTCACACATTGATTGATTGATTTCGAATTTTAAAAGTTAATGTTAAATATTTTTAAACGTATAGATTTTTTATTTGAATTAACTATACGCAAACCCATTTTCCGATTAATAATGCTGTTTTGATAACCATATTTATGAGAGTAATTCAAAGTATAGAAGCTTATATTTTAAAGGGAAAAGAACTAAAAGTGTACGGGTTTATATATAGATTAGTTATGACACGGTAGTATGTATGTATGTATGTACTTCAAAGTCAATTTTTTTTTCAATACAGACTTGTTTTAATCTTTTATCTATTGTCAAAAAACTACCATCGTTTTACTCATTTAGACATGTGACATGTGTAGAGAAAAACGACAAGAAACTCTGTGGTCTTATCGTCCCTTTTATTATCTGTCTGTATATTTCGTGATAACGTAATACTCTGCTAAACCAGTTTATTTGTATTGTAATGGTATCTTTTAAATTACTCTTAAACAATTTTAAGTGTTGTTCTCATTATTATTTATATGGAATTGAATTATTATTGTTTTAAATGATACATTCAGCGCACACGCTGAATGTATCATTTAAAACAATTACTTTGTACGAATTATTATTTTGAGGCATCAAACCTCACAGGAGAACAAAGTGGAAGTATTTGCCAACGTGTCTGCCTGCCATTCCGCACTTACATGAAGACAATCATGAATGAATGCGTCTTTGTCACATGAAGATCTAAACAGACGGTAAACAATATGAGGATGAAGTCCTAACACTTTAAAATGTTTTTAATCCTCAATTAAAGCAAAGTACATTAATTATTATTTATTATATTTAATCATACACACAAAGGTGTAAATAAGTATTTGGAGTTATAAAATCGTATCTAAAGCAAATCAAGGACTTCACTGTAAGCAATGCTATCATTTTAATAAAAAAAACCTGAAGTAGAAACGACTTGCGTGCAGACGTGAAAGGGCTTAGAAAAACCTTCTTTATTTACCTCTGACGATTTGAATGGCGACTTTGTGTGAGCCAGGCAAATTAGAATTTAAAATGGAATTTCTTTTCACGCGATTCTTGAATGTACAATTATTCTACCTTCACGCCGGCTCTAATACTTGAATAGCGAGAAAATACGATACATTTCACATTAGCGCGAATGACCGTTGATTAAATAACCATAAGATTAACAGTTACATTTGCAGTTTAGGCCTGATGGCTGGGGAGTCAGACTTGTAATTTAGCATCGCAGGTTGAATCCCAATGACGTGCGGAATACATTGAATTGTTATGAATTCCTTAATTTTAAAAATGGAATTAAAAGTAATTAAGTAATTTTAAATTCGGGTCGTAATAAAATCAAATAGGAACAATTTCAAGTGTGGACAGATTATTATAAACTTATATCAATAACATAAAACTTCTGTCTGTTCTGTGACTACGTACGCTATGAAGTGTAAAACTATGGAAATTCAAACCACAATAGACGAAATTAAAAAAATATATCAAATGGCTGTAATGTTATGCATCTGCGTAAAATAAGCGTTAATTATGTGTTTTATCACGTCGGAATAATATAAGTCGGAATAATAACCATCTTAGTTTATTCGTGACTAGCGAACTGCCCAAGCTTCGCACGGGTGCAATGTATTATACATATAAACCTTCCTCTTGAATCACCCTAGTAAAACACCGCATCAAGATCCGTTGCGTAATTTTAAATATCTAAGCATACACAGGGACTAACGGACAGCGGGATGTCTTTGTTTTATACTATGTAGTGATATTCATTTACTACAGTTATTATCGATCTTTGGATTGATCTTTTGACGTATGAACTTCGCGCTGCATTTGAAATGGGATCAAATACTTGTATCTTTTTAAGGAAAATAAATAATAAAAAAAAAGAAAGTTCAATTACATTGTTCGCTCCTTCGTCCGGTGGAAATTCGTTCTGACTTAAACCAATACTATACTTCTTTTGTGTTTCTAAAAATGGCGCCGCTTTTTGTTTCTTTTTCGTCAACGTATCACGTAACTTTTGTTCTCGTATGAGAAACAGAAGCAGGGATTTATTTTAAAAGCCGGGGTGCATTTAGAAACGGACTTTAAAATGAGGTGGGTACGGTATGATTTAAGTTCTTTTTAAAAGCATCGTGTTATTATTACGTTTCGTAGAATTCTCTACGATCTTGAGCTTCATTAATTTCACTCAATTTAAGGCCCATTTACACGATACCATTTTCTTGTACATACAAGAGCAATAATTGAATGCAATAAATTGCGCGCAATAATTGTTTAGACCATTTGTTGTTTAGACCATGCAACTCATTTATTGCTTCAATTTAATTGTATACAACA